TCCGCGTGCTCCCCCTATCTAACAGGATGTAGTCGAGGATCGAGTATTCATTGCAAACTGCCCGTTGCCTTGTGAACTCCGGCTTATCGCATTCCCTCCTACCGTTCAACACCATCAGTTCGTTGCTTCCCAAGAATTCAAGCATCCTCACTCCGTTGTCATTCACTTTGTCTTCTCCGTGCTGCCCGATCGCCTGTCCTCTACTGGAAGCTTTCCCTACTCTGGAGTTGAAATCGCCCACCATGACAACTTCTCCCTTTCTACTGAACCTCTGGACATCTTCCCCAATATGTCCAAAGTTCTCCTACGCCTTGCTTGCGACTTTCTTCGACGACGGTGGCACGTAGACGTTCCCTAGAAACAAATCTTTCTCACCCCGCTCCCCAGGCATCTTAAGCCATAGGCTTTCCTCGAAGTCGTTTTCACCACTACTTCCACCACGTCAAACAAGTGTTCCTTGACCAGGAATCCGACTCCCCCCTCCCCCCTTTTCTTCGGGTCTAAGCCCTTTCTTGCCTTCCCTACCCACCGGTATTTCCCTAGATTGGTTACCACGTCATCATCCTTCAATTCCCACGTCTCTTGGATCCCCACTACATCTAGATCGCTCTGTTCTACTTGTCCACTATTTCCAATCGCTTGCACTCACTCCATGCGAACCCGCACACGTTCCACGGCCCCACTCTCAGCGTGTGCTTTTCCCCATTGGAGATTTTGCGCACTCTATCGTTCGCCTTCCGCTTCTTCTCGGACTTCTCCTGACTTGCCTGTTCACCGACGCTAAATAGCACCTCCAACATAGGCTCGTAGTCTAGATTCAAGTTCACACCTCCTGACACAAGTACCCCAGTCTTGTGCCGGGCGCTCTGCTTAGTAAACACCCAGACGTCCCCCGACCACCCAATTTATCATCTCCGAAATCCCGCGGTACAGGCTACTTTCCTCCTGGGAGGTTATTTTCACCACAATAAGTTCAGGGACGACTTGCATAGCCTAAGATCCTACTCACAAGCCGGGGTGGAGCGTACACCAACGTCCAGCTTCTCGTGTACGCTCCACCATGGGTTGTTACCCCACTAACGCTCCCGAGTAGACCTATCTGCCGAAAGTTTGGCCTACAATTCCTCACTGCTTTATACTCGTCCCTCTCCAATCGAAAACAATGCATTGTGCGTGCCGCACATCTAGCTCCGCAGTTTTTGCAAGGTTGGTCTGGTCGTTCAGCTTGCTCGACATGAGTAACAAGCTTTGCTTTGATGGCTCTATGTTTTATCGATCCACTTCAAGCAATGAACACCCCCCCCCCTCTCCTCCACCGTCCGATCCATTTTGGATCTCATGCCGGAGAGTTTTGGGATGTCTTACTCTAAGTCCTCCACCGCCCAATGGGGGACTTGAGTATTTCTTTTAATGCCGTACCAATAGGCATTAGCCTTAGGTAAGCTTGTGCTTACTTTGGACTGTACCCTCCTCATCCTCTGGGGGAGGTAGAGGGGG